TAGGTTGTTCGCCTCGCAGAATCGTTGGAAGCGCAAGAACTTGGCCTGGAGCGTCCGACAAGTGGCGTCCGTGTAGGATGCTAGGAACTGGTGCTCCATCCAGAAGCGATCGTCATGGAGCAAACCATCCAGGTGGGTGCCGTACAGGGGGTCATCCTCCGCCAGCGGCTCCAGAGGCAAGGCATCCCCCGGATGGTCCCCCGGCGGAGAGGGCAGGGCGTCCAGCGGAATCACGCCTTCCTCCGATTCGGTCTCAGATGGAGCGGCGTCCGCGGGTGCAGGCACACATGGAATGCCCGCAGGTTCCACCGCGGAGGGGGCAGAGACGCCGGGAGACTCGGGTCGCCGGGGAGAAAAAGGTCGGCCTAGCGAGGGATGAACATTTCCGCCCGGGCGATCGCTCGGAGCGAGCAAAACCACACCGCGCTCGGCCAGTACGGCGCCAGCACCACTGCCTTCAGCTCTGGCCGTAAGGCAAGGAAGGACACGAGCCTCGCAAGGAGGCTCCATGGGGGATTGCACCAGGACCTGGTGCCGCTCCACTCCTGCTGGAAAGCATCCACTCCTGCCGTACCGACATCCCAGTACTGACTGTTGAAGCAGGCACAGAGGGCATTCCGACCTCCCGGAATATGCGCGGATTCAGGCGGTAGTCCTCCGAGGTCCGTATATGGGAAAGCCGGTCCGGCAGTATATTCTCGGCGGAGGGGATGTACTCTGGCTCCAGGAGAATCCGGCGCGCCGTACACACAGCCTTCAATTGGCGGAGGGGCCTCAGAAGACTGGTGGCCCGGATAGTCATGGAAAGGATACAATGCAAGACCACCTGGTTGTCCACCAACAAACGCACCCGCCAGGAAATCGTCCCGGAGTACCGGCGAGGAAAGAAACTGAGCAGTGCCAAGTACACGGCTTGCATTTTACGAATAAGGTCCCGATCAAAAAAGCCCCTCGCAAGCATGGGGTCCGCCTGACCTAGAGGTGGCCACCCGGATCCGTTAATAGCGGACAGAGGTTAATTTCCGTTAATTTTCCGTTAATTAACGGAAAATAACGAAAAAAGACAAAAATTAACCAAAAATTAGCGGATTTTTGGATTTTTTGGGGATTTTTGGGTTTTATTCATACTTATAGTTTATGGAATTCGCTATTAGAGAGTATGTTTGTATTTTATTTCAACCTATGCATACTAGATTTTCAACTAGCCGCAGTTATTGTGATTTTTTGGGTTTTTTTTCGATTTTTTTGGATTTTTTTCTTTTTTTCTGAATTTTTCTCCTTTTTTCTTTAACGAAATTTAACGGACAGCTGATAAAAATTAACGAACCGGATTTAACGGACCGGATGGCACCCTTGAGTGGCCACCTCTAGCCTGACCCAAAGGCTGAAAGGTCGCTCCCCAACCTGTCAGGCTGGCATCCGTCGCAAGGGTGCCAAGCAAAGGCAGCAAACCCGGTTGGAGAGCCCGGCCGGCAAGCCTGGAAATGTGGGTCCAAGCCAAAAGGTCCAGGCGGGCTTGGGGGGTCAAAGGAAGCCTATCCCGCCAAGAACGCTTCCCTCTCAACAAAGCATAAAGGCTTATCAAGAAAAAGCGGGCCAACGGAAAGGCCAAATATAACGAGATGGCAGAACCACAGAATTGAGCCAATTGATGTGCCACTACCATACCAGACTGGAGAATGGCATGAGCCCGGGAGGCAATGGCAGCTGCCTTGGCCGGAGGCACCAGAAATTGGCAACGGGTAGTGTCAATGACCACACCCAAATGAGTTTTCCGTTGCACCGGATCCCACTGGCATTTTGAATGCTTGAACTCAATCCCAAGAGCATGGAAAACTCGCTGTACCAAACTGGACCATTCCCGCAAATGAACTGGATCGGACATGGCTGCAATGAAATCGTCCAAATATGCCAAAATTAATGCGGGAACCTCCCACGAGTACTTTAGATAGTACTGTAGAATGGAATCATTGCCCGCTAAATAGCCAAATCGAAAACGAGTCCGAGCCCAAGGACATGCATTAGGGGTCCTTAAGAAACGGACCACAACGAGCATGACATGAGTGAAATAAAAGGGGGCCAAAGAGAGGCCAAAAACAACGCCCGACAAGCGAAAATCTCGCCACCATGCGAAAGAACAAGAAATGCTCTTGATCGGCGCGCATCCGAATGTGATGGTAGGCATTCTTAACATCAAAGCCCACCAGAAAGTCATTCTTATGCAAGAGAAACCTGAAATCCTTCAAGCGTTCGTAGCGGAGACCGACCTTCTTGAGGTGGCGGTTGATCCGCCGAAGGTCGATGACCAAACGATACTTGGTCTTCCCGTTCTCCGCCGGCTTGGCCACCAAAAATGCGCGCGAAATTCGGGCGCTGGAAGAAGCCTCCGTCCGGCTGATCGCTCCCGTCTACAGGTACTTGTCGCACAGCTCCCGCCAAGGTTGCCACTCCGCCGGGGTCCTGAGTGGGTATTCGCCTTGATCGAAGAGAGGCGGAGGGCCCCCCGGGCCCCACTGGAGCGGCGCCCCCGTATGGATCCATTGAAGCACTCGGGCGGGGGCGCCGATGCGTCGCCAGGCCGCAAGATGGCCCTGGAGGTGCGCGTAGGGGGGGCCCTCTAGGCGGTCGGCTTGGGAGGCGCTGGCTAGGTACCGGACGTCTTAGGCTTGGCGCGCGGATGCTTGGCGCCGGAGGAAGAACCGCCGGGGGGCGGGGCTGCGGGAGCCTGGCGGTTGAGTTGCGCTTGATGTTGAGCCGCCGCAGACTTCGTCGCCAACTTGAGCTGCTGATTGAGGACCTCCTTGTGGATGTGCTCGAGGGGCTCGTCGATCAATGGGTCCCAGAACCGTCGATGCATGGCACCCAATCGCACGTTGGTCTGAAGCGCCTTCTACAGACAGTCGAGGGAGGTGCCCTTCTGCTCGCCATGGACTTGCTGGAGGCGGATCAGGCTCTGAAGGTGCGACGTGATGGTCACTTGGGCATGGACGTACGGAAGGAGGGCCTCTCGGAATTCCGACGGAAAGGCCGGGTGCGCCATGAAGTCGATCAGCGCGGCAGTGAGGTCGAACTGCCACGTGACGTAGGGGGCCCAGTTTTGATACTCCTGGAAGTACCCGGAGTTGGCGCCCAGGGCCTGCGCCAGCTGCCTGCCTTCGGAGGTGCGGCGGACGTCGAACCACTTGGGAAACCGTACTCCCGGAGGTCGGACCACTGGGTTGGTCACCGCTTGTGGGAGGAGCCGGGGGTCGGACAGCCAGACTTCGTCAAGGGAAGCCGTAGGCTAACCGTCATTGAACCGAACCGCTTGGTCGTGCAGCCACTGCTCGGCCGGAGAACGGTTCATAGAAAGGACTCGGCTGTAGCCGGAGGGACAAGGCACTCGGTGCCTGCGGGTTGTGCCAACGCAGTGGCGCGAAGCGAAACAAGATAAGGAGGGGGACCGAGGGGCTGCCTAAATAGCCGCCCCCCGCCGCCCCGCCAAAGCCCGCCAAACTCGAGGGCGCCCTCGCGGGCGGCACCTCGGAATACCGTACTTTGACTGACCCACAATACTAGGGGTGGCCAGAAATCCCAAGGGATGGGGTTGAGTAAACCCCAGGTTCAAACTGCACTGTTTGAATCGCCGGTGCAGCCCACCCATCGTCGCCCTTGGCAGAAACCCATTAACAGGATAGTTAACTTCATTTTTCGCCTACCCTATTCAGCACAGAAATCGCGGGAAGCATGGCAAACTAGTGTGACGGCACTCGAAGGTGTTAAAAGTGCAGAGATTCTGCATATGTTTTCTGCAGTTTTAGAGTAGATGGTCAGGCGCCCCGAGTGTGCCCTCCTTACCCGAGTTAATGCAAAGAAGCAAGCCTATTAACGGGTGGGCAAGCCCCCCCGAGATTTAAGCGGAATTGACGGAATGTAATGGAGTGAATGTGTTTAAATCAAGATTAGGGCCGTTGGGAGGGAACTTTGGACGGCCAACGGGAGTGTCCGTTGTGGGCACACTTGGATTTGGTGTGAATGGCGCTGCCGCTACACAAACTGGGTATGACTGGCTCAGTGAGAAAGTGTTTGGCACAACTCTTAAAGTTATTGCTAGCTTATGGGCAGCGACCCTTGTTTCAGGGCGCGGTTGGTGATAAAGTCCAGGAAACCGAACTGAGCACAGTTTTGCACGGCTGGGAACGCAGTTTCGAGACGATCCGTGCAAACGGGGAACTTGGGACTAAAGGTTGGCGAAACGAGTGTGTGGCTATCTCGTTTTTCGCTCCTGCCCACCTCACCCCAGGTCATTGGCTTCAATTTTAATGTAAGGAGAGACAATTGGCAAACTGGTGTGACGGCACTCGAAGGTGTTAAAAGCGCAGAGATTCTGCGTATGTTTTCTGCAGTTTTAGAGTAGATGGTCAGGCGCCCCGAGTGTGCCCTCCTTACCCGAGTTAACGCAAAGAAGCAAGTCTATAAACGGGTGGGCAAGGCCCCCCGAGATTTAACGATATGTACACGACCCGCCATCCGTGTGCGGCACAGCTCCTGGCAGCTGGGCTTCCGTGTGGGGAACCTGTCTCCCTCCAAAGCCCCGACCGCCGCAGCTCGGCAACCACTTTGGCAGGTATGCCAACGAATCAGATTGCCCGAGCGCCAGCCGCTGGCTTGCGACGACTCGCCCTGGTGCTGGCTGACGCGAATTGTCCTGGCCAGAAGCGGGCCTGTTCTGGCGAGCCTTCTGCCACTCGCATGCAACGCAGCCAGAGCTGTTTGGATATTGGGTGCATTTTCTGTTTGGGGCTTGACACCTCGATGGTTGCAATGAACCGATCGCTCTGGACGCGTGGACACTGCCTTGAAGTGAAATGGGATTTGCGCCCAAAGACGGACACTTGGCTCGACCCGCAAGGCACTTTCTGGCGCTTGGCATCGCGGCCGGTGTTGCGCATTTCTGTTGACTGCGGTGGCCTTTGTGTTGCCTCGCGCACAGGCCGCGTCTGAACGGGGCCAGGCGCGCGATGGGGGACTCCGGGGAGGGTCTGAACAAGGTGACGGTGTTGAAGTACCGGTCGCCGAAGAACAGGTCCTCCGCGGAGCAGACGTTCTACATCGTCGGCACGGCGCACATCTCCAGGGCGTCGTGCGAGAAGACCAAGGCGGTCATACGAGAAGTGAAACCAGAGGTGATCCGCCCCGTTCCCCCGAGGGAGCGAAGTTATGGCACTGCGGCAGCTGATTCCGAGCGCGTGGAGACTTTGGGGAAGGGTAAAGTTTGTGGATGGGAAGCGGTGTGGATCTTGTCCGGGTTGCGGAGACGCCTGTTCACCTTGGTGCGGTGTGGTTGAGGGTCTGGAGCACACTGTGAGGGGCTTGCCATCCTGTGCTTTTTTTTCTTTTGTCCAGGAACAGTTTTCCCGAGGCAGATCAAGAAAATATTGTCGTTCGGACGCCATTGTCGACCGCTAGGCGTGTTCTCGGCGCCCATATTTCACAGATGAAAATTTTGGCTCATCGAGAGACGATTGCTCCAACAGAAAATCTTGTTGCACCCGTTGTTATTTCTTTGGTCAAGAGCACAGGACTTCGGTGCTGCCAGACCAGCTCTGGATCACATGATTTGCACTGACAGAATCTGCAACTGTTGATTGGGATAAAGAATGTCCCCGTGAATGCTGCTGTGGTGAATCATAGGGCCCTGAATGGGCTGCTGCCCCTGGACAGTGGTTTGATACCTGGCTCAATGACCCTTCGGTCATTGTTATTGCGTCACTCTGTGTTGATCCAACATTTTGCAAAACAACGAACAGGCTACGACCATGTGTTTGGCCACAGTTTGTGCCAGTATTGAGGACTTGCATCCCTTCATGGGTGAGTTCTCCTCTTGCCTGGTGCTGAGTGTGCTGGTGATGTCCAGGCGGTATTTCTGGAGCTCTGTGAACACAGAAGAGCCCTGCTGAGGAAGGTGGAGCACGTTCGCGTGAGTGCCCTTGCTCAGTGCATCCACTGCACGTGTCATGTGTTTAGGGCCCCTGGTGCCAGCCAATATCAAGTCACAGGTGCAGCAAGATTTTAGATATCTGGGAGTAGCCATGGAGAACACCCCGAACAGTTAGCAAGTCACTTCCTGAGGACACTTGCTTTGCTTCATTTACAATTCTTTTGTGCAGTTCTATTTGCTGGAAATGGTGCTTCCATCATGCTCAGGCTAATATGCTGAACCAACTCCAAATGAGGTTTTGCGAGTGTTTGTCAAGATGTACTGAAAGACAAGAAGAACATGCATACATTTGAGCAACCCTCTTGCCTTTATGAAGTTCATGCTTGGCCAACAGTGTGAAAATTCTCACAGCACCCTGGCTTTGCAGCTGCAAGGCGATGATGGCCTCAATTTGCAACCTGAAACCTTGTTTGCGTTGCAGATCTAAACGAAGAACCGGAGTACAAACTTGTGGCTGTATTGTATGGATGCCAATGTGATGTGCCACAATGCGTGATATGGTGCATCAGCATGTTCAATAACATCCACAGAACAGTGTTGGCAATAGGTGATGCATGGTCGTTAGTCTTGTTTGGCAGGCCTTGACCCCTGAAACCTGTCCTATTTTCGTATGCAGGTGCCTTCTTTAGCAGAGCTGGTGTCTGGAGCATCAAAGGGGCACATCACCCTTTTTGAAGCCCTGTACTCCTGGATGTTGGCAAAATTTGGCTCAGAGATGGAGGTATGATTTGCCTTGTTACACACTGAAAAGGGTGATGGGGCGATTAACCCTCCTGTATGCTGTTAAATGTGACTCACCACCTGGGGTTGGCACTTTGGGTTTGCACACAAGGCTTCCAACCAGCCTATGAGTTAGGACAACTTAGGTAGTTGTGCGTGAGGTTTTGCATTGGTAGTGTTGCACTGCAGTGTTGCCTGCAAACCCTCGTACTTCACTACTGTTATCGCTGGGCTATATGTTGGAGCGAATCGGAATCAGCCATGTTTGTGCTTATCCTCTCTGCATTGAGCTTCTGCAGTGCTATTCTTGTGGAGGATCTTCTCCACTACCCAAAGCAAGCAAGATGGCTGGGCTCTCTTGCAACTTCTCAACACATAATACTTGTGCAATGCAGGCCTGCGTGTTCCTTAGGTCTTTATTATGGACAGCATGTCAGTTTGGCATTAGATTCCAGTAGCAAGCATGCCCCCATCCAAGACTGTCAACCATGCTTCCAGTGAACTTTGCATTGGGTTATTATGCAGTTTATTTTGCAGCAACAATGAAGCACAGTTTTTCCCCTGTTGTTGTCTCAGTGTGCCCAATATTGTTTCTTTTCCTAGCAAGAATGACCATTGTTGTTTTTCATTGCAGGTGGTTCCAGGAGAGGAATTTCGAGTGGCACATGAGGAGGCCAAGCGCATAGATGCGAAAATCATGCTGGGCGATCGGCCGGTGCGTAAACAGTTTCAACAGTGCTCATGGTTCTAATTTTGTGGCTACTGAGTGAGATCTGTCAACCTTCCATTCCAGATGCTGTGGGTACTGGCTTGTGCATCTGCTGTGTGCGCTGTTATTCTTTGACTGTGCTCGTGATCGTTGTGGAGCAATGACTCGCTCCATCTTGCTTCCTTTTGGGCAGACATATCATCAGCATGGCACCAATGCAGGAAACAGCTGCACACTGTTTCGTGTGCATCATGTTTTGGATCGCACGTCAGCCCAATTTGTTTATTTCAGGATATTGCAGTGGAATTGAGATTGGAAGTTGATTTGTCCAGTGTTTTTTGTGTCATACAACTCACCTCCATCTGCACCTGTTGTTTGCATCGCTGGTGGAAAAGTGCCCCAAGCACAAATGGGCTTGCTCGATTTTGTTCTGTTTTGCTCGTTGTACCTGTTCAACACAGCCTACAACACCAATCGAAATTGTGGGGAGGGCAATTTTTTGCAGTGCGCATTGTGTGCTCCCTAATTGATTCCTTGGTTGTAGTACCTGACATTGCGGTTTCCTGTTTTTCCAACTAGGTGCCAGTCACTATAGCACGCATGTGGTCTTCACTGTCATGTTGGCAGAAGATAAGGCTGTGTTTCCATCTTCTGATAACAGGAATAAGTCTGCCGAGTGCAGAGGACATGAACAAACTGCTGGAAGAGCTGGCGGTGGGTTGTTTTGTATGCAAATGGCTGAACCTGGTGGTGCACTGTTGCTGTGTTCTCCAGCGGAAACCAAGCTGGTATCATCAGTAAATAGTATGTTTTACACTTCCCTTGCCTTTACTGGGTGACGTCTTGTCATTTTTATGGCCACGGGCACTTCAAGTCCTGCAGAGCATGTATTTGTTGGCGCCCAGGGGACTCCCAAGTGCTAGGGATCGTGTGGTTAGTGTTGTAGCAGGGTGTGAGAATACAAACCCGACCCAAACTTGGCTGCACCAACAATGTTGCAAAATGCAGGTTGCTGCCTGTTGATACGATTACATGATAGTGAGATCCCATCAAGGGGGGGGCCCATGTCAGGGCCAACTCGGAGGGCTTGAGCACCTGCCATATTGCAATGCCAAGCACCATAAGTTCTGGAAAATGGAGCTGAGTGAAGAGTTGGCACTGCGCAGTTCAGTTTTGTTTGGATGCGGACTACACAGTTTTCAGCAATTTATCCCTACCGAACCTTGATCTGAATTAACTAAACGAAACTAAGCACAGTCAGACATTTTCTGAAACAGGCGAGTTCTTGCCGGTGCGTTCAGATGTTCCTAATTGATAGACATGTGGATGTGTTTGGCACAGGAAACAGATGCGGTGACAGAGGCGATTAAGGAGCTCAGCCAGACGTTCCCCACCCTGGCCAAACACCTGATTGCAGAGCGCGATTTGTACATGGTATATACAATGCGGCAGCTTGCTGGGATGGCCTCAACAGTGGTGGCAGTTGTTGGGGCAGGCCACCTTCCAGGGATTCGAGAGAACTGGGAAAAGGATATCGACATAAGGGAGGTGAGGGCACGTGCAAATGCAGACTGCACTGAGTCACTGGTAGCTGTGGCAGCAGAGAATTTACAGATAAATTGCCTGGCGAAATTCTAGCATTTTCGCTGCAGTTGAAGAGACTTGATGCAGTGTGAATATGCCGGAGCAATTCACTATGCAGCATTGATTGGCCGCCTGTTTTCTGCAAAGAAAAATGCTGCTTGAAGGAGCAGTGTGTCAGTGTATATGCTTCTGGCTTGGTAGCACAGTGTATGTGTCGTGTACCTGTAATGTTGTCCACTGCTGGCAAGAGCTATTAAGAGTCCAACAGCAGCAGGTTGCTGTGTGTGATGCGCATTGTGGTGGGGCGAGCTCAAGGTTGAAGTTTCTTGATTGGGTGCATGGTTGACCGATTGTGCTTTTGGTTCCTGTGGAGGCAGTCTGATTCCTTAATAGACATCTGCTGCATCGCTGCACAGAAAAAAGAGTCAGGAAGGGTCGGCGTATTGGAGTTCTGGCACCCAAACCGTGGCAACCATGCTGACACATGCCCAAGGTTTCAAGAGCTGTGCGGCTTCTGCTCTTGCTGTGCTGTCCCCAATCTAACTGGAATATATCTGTGGGGTAAACAGTGTATCCATGGACACTCTTTGTGGGGCTGTAGCTAGATGTCGAATTCGGGATGTCAAATCAGTACATAATGGCTGCAAAACTTTGGCTCTGATCCGTGCATGGCACAATGGTTTGACCATTTCCAACAGCTGCGCCCTCCCAAGGGTAAGGACTTGTCCAGAATTCGTACACTTATCTCGAGGATTTGCCTGGCATTGCACCTCAATAGGATTGCTGATTGCCACACGTTGTGTTGTTTTCAGATTGCGAGGATGCCCAAGAAGCCTCCACCACCCCAAAAGCGTTGGCGATATGTTGCCATAATATCGTCCAGCATCGTCATTGTGGCCTTTGTCACGATGCGATCACGATTGCGATGAAATCGCCGCCAGACTTGCCCCACCTTCCGCCCGCATTGAATCTGTACTTTGTGCTGTACACAATGCGCCATTTTCTGGCAGCGTGCTTTGCATGCACCGCGTTGCATTGCTTGGGTGTGTTGCCAAGAGAAGTAGAGGGGTGATCAGGATGGCACGTGCTGTCTTTAGTTCGGCAGACTCTTTTATGCAATACCTTTGATTTCAATGGACGAAGTTGGCAAATCATACCTGGGCGGTGGAGGGCAAGTTGTAGTGGGGGCTAGGTGGATTTCGGGCTGCGTGCTCTGTATTTTGTTGTGCGCTGGACAGGGTGCACCCTTCTCTGCGTCGCGGAGTCTGTGGTTGCACCTTGCGGGCTTTTGATTGAGCGCTGATCATGTAACGCTATGGGATGGAGTGTGCGTGGCGTGCTGCGCAATTTGACTGGCATCGCATGAGCATAAGTTGATATGGCCGCTGGAACCTTCAAGCTCGGTTTAGAGCTTGCAGAATATTGTCAGCGCTGTGGTGCAATACAGTCGCGTCAAGATGCGCGAGGACCGACAAAGAACAGGATCACTGGCAGGAAACGTATCAATGACCGTGAGAATCAAGGTGCGAGCTGAGTGCTTGGCACCGCCACGGGCAGCAACTGAGCACCCTGTCAGATTCCCCAGCCCTGGCCATCAATACTTGCACGAAATTGCTGTTGTTAGATGTGCTTGAGTACAGTGGCAACAGCAAGTCTGCCACAAAGGGGTCGTGTTAGCAAACGTGTTTGAACCTGCCACTGGATGCCACTGCAATGTCATGGCGCCAAACTTGATCGCGTTTTCTTTGACATGCACCGAGTACCAATATATTTGTCAACCAGTTCAGAAGTCGGGCCTTCAGCCCGACGTTCTGCACTTTTTGGTTCCTGCTTTATCCATTAAGAGCCTGCTCACTTGGTGGCTGGGTTGCGCAGTTGATGTTATTCGTTCGACAACACATCCTGGGGAAGCCTTCTGCAGATCCCGTTTCCACCCGCACGTTTGGATCGCAGAATAACTGCTTAAGCCAGATTAGCTAATGGACGCACGGATCGCGGATCACATTCGACAGTCTCAGTTCATGATTGCCACACACCATGCGCTTGTTAAGCCGGTGCAAACGAATTGCAGCATGGCTGGCCGGCCCCTCAGAAAGTGCCCAGTGGCACAGTCACATGGTCGGTTATCCCTCGCCTTCACCGTCCGTGGCTCCGGCATGAACCCCATTGCTCGTTACATGAAGTGTTGTTTTGTACATGCTGACTACCTCGTGCGTTTTGTATGGAATATGGCAGGCCAGTCTGTCCGAAGGCCGCCAACTCAATAGAACATTCCACTGGCCGCCCCAGCTATTCTGGCTTGGCCAATTTCCAATAAGGTTCCTTGACTTTCTCCCGTTCGTTCCAATCCCACAACTAATACCAATTCCTCCCCACTTCCCAATTGCAAACCTCTAGGCCAGCGCCCTGGACCCATCTGCACGCCGACGTTCCTAGGGTCCCTACCCGCTACCCATCTCCCTCACTCCCTCCTCTACGACCTCTACAACAGCGCTCGCCAACTGCCCCACTGAGTATGCGCCCCACTTTCATTCGTTCACAACTGTTCCCTCCTAAGGATGCGCACCTTCTCCTTGACGGGATTCGCAGTGATGCACACCCTTACCCCACCATGCTTACCCATCCATGTAATTGGAAACGGGCCCTCCCAATGAGCAGCCAGCTTAGTGCTCCTCTTCTCCTGATGTATCCACACCAGTTCGTCCATGCTCACAGGTGGAGGGACATGATGCGCTCCAGCACCTTTCACCCGCTACAGCCGCATCATCTCACCATGCACTGCCTTGACTCAAGGCCCTTGAGCCGCTCATGATGCAAATCTCTCGCGGCGGTGGCCATCGGCCAGCCGAATCTTGGCAGCGAGGAGGTGCCATCTCCCTAACCAGGCGGTTCTATTCTCCTCCCAGTTTCTAGTCCTGCAAAAGCCTAGCTCGAGCCCCATCCAGCGACTACCCCGAAGGAGCCCTGGGTTGTGCCATCTCCCTGACCGGGCCGCTCGTGCTATTCGTCTGCGGCAGGCGGAGGGTCAGGACGGCAGCCGGGGGGCAGCGCAGCACAATAATAAATGGCGCCACCCCTGGCAAAGGTCAAGGGCAGTAGGAGCCCGGTTCCGTAATGTTCGCACAGCAAAAATTTTGGCGGGTGAAAAAGTTCGCGGCAGAAAAGCGTTCGAGCACCGACGACTGCATGAACTTCTTTCCATGTGAACTTTTTCCCGCACGAAATGAAGTTAACTATCCTGTTAATGGGTTTCTGCCAAGGGCGACGATGGGTGGGCTGCACCGGCGATTCAAACGGTGCAGTTTGAGCCTGGGGTTTGCTCAACCCCGTCCCTTGGGGATTTCTGGCCACCCCCTAGTACCGTGGGTCAGTCAAAGTATGGTATTCCTCGAGTTTGGCGGGCTTTGGCGGGTGGGCGGAGGGCGGCTATTTAGTCAGCTCCTCGGTCCCCCTCCTTATCTTGTTTCGCTTTGCGCCACTGCGTTGGCACAACCCGCAGGCACCGAGTGCCTTGTCTCTCCGGCTACGGCCGAGTCCTTTCTATGAACCGTTCTCCGGCCGAGCAGTGGTTGCACGACCAAGCGGTTCGGTTCAACGACGGTCCGCCTATGGCTTCCCTCGATGAAGTCTGGTTGTCCGACCCCGGTTCCTCCCGCAAGCGGTGACCAACCCGGTGGTCTGACCTCCGGGCGTACGCTTCCCCGAGTGGTTCGACATCCGCCACACCTCCAAAGGCGGGCAGCTCGCGCAGGCCCTGGGCGCCAACTCCGGGTACTTCCAGGAGTATCAGAACTGGGCCCCCTGCGTCGCGTGGCAATTCGACCTCACTGCCACCGTGGCAGTGCCACGCTGATCGACTTCGTGGCCCACTCTGCGTTTCTGCCGGAGTGCCGGGAGGCCCTCCTTCCATACGTCCACGCCCAGGTGACCATCACGTCGTGTCTTCAGAGCCTGGTCCGCCTCCAGCAAGTCCGCAGCGAGTAGAAGGGCACCTCCCTCAATGGTTTGTGGAAGGCGCTTCAGACCAACGTGCAATTGGGTGCCGTGCATTGCCGGTTCTGGGACCCCTTGATCGACGAGCCCCTCGAGCATATCCGCAAGGAGGTCCTCAATCAGCAGCTCAAGTTGGTGACGAAGTCCGCGGCGGCTCAACATCAAGCGCAGCTCAACCGACAAGCTCCCGCGGCCCCGCCCCCCAGCGGTCCTTCCTCCGGCGACAAGCATCCACGCGCCAAACCCAAGACGTCCGGCACCCCGCCAGCGCCTCCCAAGCCGACCGCCTAGAGGCCCTGCCCTACGCCCGCCTCCAGGGCCGTCTCGCGGCCTGGCAACACATCGGCGCCCCCTCCCGAGTGCTTCAATGGATCCATACGGGGGCGCCGCTCCAGTGGGGCACGGGGGGCCCTCCGCCCCCTTTTGATCAAGGCGAGTATCCGCTCAAGACCCCGGCAAAATGGCAAGCTTGGCAGGAGTTGCACGACGAGTACCTTTGGATGGGAGCGATCAGCCGGATGGAGGCTTCTTCCAGCGCCCGGATTTCGCGCGACTTTCTGGTGGCCAAGCTGGCGGAGAACGGGAAGACCAAGTACCGTTTGGTCATCGACCTTCGGCGGATCAACCGCCACCTCAAGAAGGTCGGTCTCCGCTACAAGCGATTGAAGGATTTCGGGTTTCTCTTGAAAAAGAATGACTTTCTGGTGGGCTTCGATGTTAAGAATGCCTACCATTATATTTGGATGCGCGCCGATCAAGAGCATTTCTTACTCTTTCGAATGGGTGGCGAAATTTTCGCTTGTCAGGCGCTGCCTTTTGGCCTCTCTTTGGCCCCCTTTTATTTCACTCATGTCATGCTCGTTGTGGTCCATGTCTTAAGGACCCCCAATGCATATACTCGGGCTGGGACTCGTTTTAGATTTGGCTATTTAGTAGGCAATGATTCCATCTGCAGTACTACCTAAAGTACTTGTGGGAGGTTCCCACGTTAATTTTGGCATATTTGGATGATTTCATTGCAGCCATGTCCGATCCGGTTCGTTTGCGTGAATGGTCCAGTTTGGTGCAGCAAGTTTTCCAAGCTCTTGGGATTGAGTTCAAGCATTCAAACTGCCAGTGGGATCCGGTGCAATGGAAAACCCATTTGGGTATGGTCATTGACACCACCCGGTGCCAATTTCTGGTGCCTCCGGACAAGGCAGCTGCCATTGCCTCCCGGGCTCATGCCATCCTCCAATCTGGCATGGTAGTGGCGTGGCACTTGGCTCAATTTTGTGGGTCTGCAATTTCGTTGTATTTGGCCTTTCCGCTGGCCCGATTTTTCTTGATGAGTCTTTATGCTTTGTTAAAAGGAAAGCGTTCTTGGTGGGATCGGCTTCTTTTGACCCCCCAAGCCCGCCTGGACCTTTTGGCCTGGACAAACATTTCGCGGCTTGCAGGCCGGGCTCTCCAACCGGGTTCGTTGCCTTTGATTGGCACCCTTGTGATGGATTCCAGTTTGACAGGTTGGGGAGCGACCTTTCAGCCTTTGGGTTGTGCGGACCCCATGCTTGCCAGGGGATTTTTTGATTGGGACCTTATTCACATTAATGTTCGTGAAATGCAGGCTGTGTACTTGGCACTGCTCAGTTTCTTTCCTCGTCGGTATTCCGGGACGACTTCCTGGCGGGTGCGTTTGTTGGTGGATAACCAGGTGGTCTTGCACTGTGTACTTTCTATGACTACCAGGGCCACCAGTCTCTTGAGGCCCTTACATCAATTGAAGGCGGTGTGTACAATGCGCCGGATTCTCCTGGAGCCGGAGTACATCCCTTCCACCAAGAATGTACTGCTGGACTGGCTTTCCCGTATACGGACCTCAGTGGACTACCGCCTGCATCCGTGCATATTCCGGGAGGTCGCCCGTAAACGGACCTCAGAGGACTACCGCCTGCAT